GTTGAAATAGCTAATGGACATGAACGTGATACTTATATTGCAAAAATGGGTATAAAAACATATTTTATTATTCCACGTGATGTACCAAATACACAAAATCAATTAATGATGAAGTATTAGAAATATTTCTTTTTGCTTCTTTTTTTGTTATCCAAAAAAAATTAATAATTAATTTTTCTAGCGGTGGTGATGCACGTAAATCAAGTAAAAAAATACAAAAATTATTAGATACATGGTCAAATGAAACACCATTTGCTATACAACATCTTTCGGATCATGATAAATCAGATGCAGCAAAAAGTTTTATACTTCTTGAAGATAATTTAAAACCATTAGCAACTTCATTAATTTGTTTGTAAGTTAAAAAAAAAATACCAAACTGTTTTACACGAATCACTGCAGGATTAAAATGTAAAACACAATGTAATTGTTACTATTGGCGTCTATGAGAAGAGAGAATTCATCAGAGATGGGATCAGTTCGATTTCACAAAAATGATAAACAAATGATTATTTATTTATTTTGTTTTTGTTTTTAGTAGTCATCAACATAGTACAACTGATCTTGAACGATTAACACTTGGATTTAAAAAACAAGAAAATAATAAAGCAAATAAAACTATAGATGATGATGAAGGAAATCGTCGAGCTAATGAAAGTTTATTTCGTTCATTACCTGAATTACGTTATCGTTATTATGTTATTAATGCAGCTTGTGTTTTCTTTGCAATTATTGCTATTCAAGCATTAATATTTGAAAAGTATACAGAATTAATTTTCTTTTTTTTTGATTCTAGTTTTATATATTCATTATAGAAATGCTCTATATCCTGTTCTGGTAATATCTGGTCTATGTGCATTTAGTGCAGTTGCTTTATTATGTGTTATAGATCTTTCAAAAGTAAAATATTTGTATTTATTTATTTTTATTTAATTAAATTTTGCTGCTCCTTTTTTTGTATTGATTTTTAGTTACAACGCGATAATCATCGTTCTTTACTTCATCAATCAGTTTATTTAGTAACACATTATTATTTTGTCCGTCTACCTGCTAGTCTTATATTAATTATAATTTGTATTTTAACACCATTTGCTGTAATATGGTCATCACCAATTAATTTAATTCAACCATTGGAAAATACAACAACAACAATAAATAATGATATATTATTTTCATCATCTAATCTTTCATTTCCAGAAAATAGTTTTAATCAAGTAAGATTAATTTATTGATGTGTAGTGGAGTTACAAGGTTTGGCTAAGCTCTAACATTTGTTTCTTATCCCATCAAATTGATAGGATCAAGGACTGGATATGGCTAGATAAGAACGACGAAACACGCCCTGCACTAATCGACCACGGTGACTGAAGTTTTAATCTGAAAACGAATCCCTGGATATCGAAAATTTTCTAAAATCAAGTCGTTGTTTTTATGTCATTACGATTCAGCTTACACATCTAATCGTAACAGCCACTTCTATCTCTCATAGTCTGTAATGAGAAAATATATTCAGATGTTTGTCACCTGCTCCAAATTAAAATCTTCGCCTTACACGATCAAGGGTTGACTAACTTGTAGTTTAAAGTTTCGATCAAATGAGTAAATCCAACAGTTCAATTCTTGGAATTGAATTGTCCAAGAAATTTTCTTCTGTTTTGAAAACGACATTTCAATAATAGAAAAAAGATAATTATATCTGAAAGTTCTATTCTCAAAAAAAGAACAATAGTATTTTTATATTCAAAAATGTTTTTCTTAAAAATAGAAAAAAACAAATTCGTTCCGACAAGTTAGATTTGAACTTGTCGGTGCCTCGATTCCAAATCAAAACACCTTTACATTATATTTCACATATAAATCTTATAAGAAGTCTTAATCATTTTTTTTTTTGTCTTTTAGACAATTGTTTTACCAATTCATACAAATAGTATGGTATCAGTTTTAACAAATTCTATATCATTTGAATTTTGTCCTCATTTTGAATTTCATATATTACTTATTCAACTTGCTTTATTAACTGTTTCGTCATTTATGCATCTTTATTTTCTACTTAAAGCATTAATTATGATTATAATTGTAACTATTTATGTATTTTATTCATATTATTCAAATATTTATAATATTATTGCTCAGAATTATGGTATATCAAGTAATATAATACTTATTGAAACAACATTTGAAATTATTTTTTTTATTCTTTTATTAATTGCTCTTGATCGACGAGTAAATTTTAATTGAAATGAAAATAAAAATATTAAGTTTAAGAATATCTTTTTCTTTTTCAGTTTGAATATATGAGTCGACTTGATTTATTATGGACAATTAAATTTCAAAATGAAAAACATGAAGTTGAAACAGTGAGCACAATTAGTCGATTATTATTAGAAAATATTCTACCAAAACATGTGGCAGAAATTATTATTAAAGAAAATATGAGTCAGGTAACATATATATATATATATATATATTAATTTTTGCCTACAAAAAAAAAGGGATATATTTAGGCATTGAGAGAAAGACTATAGAGATGTACGTCACCTGTCTTCTTATTTGTCCGTCGCGTTTTAAACATGTCAGCTGTTAAAATCTATTGCTAGGAATTTTTAAAAAGTTAAGAGAAGAAATTTAATCGTTGGCAAACGTTTTCTTTTTTTCATTACTCGATTTCATACTCGTTAATTAAATTGTAATTAATGTTGATTAAAAATTATTCTGATAATAAATCGACCAAACTTAATTTATTAACAAGGAATAAATATGAGAAAAAACTTTTTGACTTATCATTAGGTGGAAGCGGCCGTGTCCGCTGGTCAATAAGGCTTAGACGGTGGCTACCTTCGCCTCATTTTTTAGGCACGGTTCACATCTCTAACAGAGGAAGTCTTCGTCTACAAGTTTGAAGTCGCCATGGCTCAGTAGCTACATTGCTCAGCACGTATCCACAAGGTACTGTGTTCAAATCTTGATATCATCAACCATGAAATGATCATTGGCAAGTCAGTAATGGCTGTTTGACTCGGATCGTTCATACAAGAACTGTGTCAGGTCGACCTTATATCTAGAGTTACAGCTAGTATTAATTGTAGGGAAGGTATTGAACTATTGAATCTACTGCTAGACAACATCCTATACTGCAAGATAGGAGTATTCTTTCTTTCTCTGCAAATCTGCATATATTACATTCTGTGATTAAAATCTTATAATCGTCTTTTTTTTTGTTTTTTTAGGGTCTTTATCATGAAAGTTATGATAATGTTGTTGTGATGTTTGCATCAATACCTAATTTTAAAGAATTTTATGTTCAATCGGATGCAAATAATGATGGATTAGAATGTTTAAGATTACTTAATGAAATCATTGCTGAATTCGATAAAGTTTATATTAATAAAAGAAAAAAAAAAACTTAATTCAATCATTTTTTTTTTCTATCTTTCATTTAGTTATTAGATAAGAATAAATTTAGTTGTGTAGAAAAAATTAAAACTATTGGTCATACTTATATGGCAGCAGCTGGTCTTAATCCAGGTGTTGAACATCGTATGGTATTGGAAAAAAAAAAAAATTTTCATTTTTTTTAAATATATATTTTCTAATTTTTCTCTAGACAAGAGAACGATATAATCAAAACGTTGTTGCACTTGCTGAATTTGCTTTTGCAATGATTGCAGTACTTGAAGGAATTAATCGAGATTGTTTCAATGATTTTAAATTACGTGTTGGCATGTGTAATGGTCCTCTTGTTGCTGGTAAATAAATTAAAAATAATAATTATATGATATAATATTCAATTGTAATAATCATTTAGAAAAAAAAATCAATGATATACGTATTTAATTGTAACTGAAGTTTTGTCTCCATGTACTCGGTTTTAGTCGACTATTTAGCGTACTTACGATCGTGCTATGATCCATAATTGCAAAAAAAATTATAGCGTAGCTACGTGTAAATGCGATTCTTTTTATCTTAACTATGCATAATTGTGATTATGCATAGTTAAGATAAAAGCGTCGCATTTACGCGTATCTACATTGGAATTTTTTCGCAATTACGGGTCATCGTAAGCTTATAATAAGACCATAATTGCGTCGTAAATCGATCATAATGAAACTCATATATCCTAACTTGAGTCTCTGATTTTATAGATATAGGATAGTAATGAAGATGTCATATACATGTCAAGCAATAATATATAAAATACCAAATTTTCTATTAATTTTATGTATTCATGAAGAACTAATATTCGACGAATAACATAGGAAGGGAGGGAAGCTGAGTTACTCCGTGACTTTGCTACTAATCGAAAGTATTTTGTTTTTAAAATTTTTATTTATCATATCTTAGGTATTGTTGGTGCAAAAAAACCTCAATATGATATTTGGGGTAATACAGTAAATGTTGCTTCACGTATGGACAGTACAGGTGTTGTCAGTTGTATACATGTGAGTTAATAAATAAATACTTTTGTTTTTTTTTGTTTTTTATTTAAAAAAATGAAAACATAATTATTTTTAGGTTCCTGAAGAAACACAACGAGTTTTATTTGAAAATGGTTATCCATGTGAATGTCGTGGACCAATTTATGTTAAAGGTAAAGGTAATATGACAACGTATTTAGTTCGACCACGTGGTTATATGATGCCAACATCAACATCAAATGTTTCATCAATATGCAATGCATCGAATAAATGAAATATTTTATTTTATTTTATTTTATTTTGTTTATTGTTTCATGGAAAAAAAAAATTCTTTGAGTCAGATTTTGTCCCAGTGAAATTATATTCGTGTAAACTTTTTGTTTTCTTATTATTATATGTATGTATTCCTAAAAAAAAAAAATGAGAACAGTATTTAGATTTTTTTTTTTCTAGTTTTTTGGTGTTTTATTTTTCCTTTTTTTCAAAAAAAAAAGCAAATTATGAATGAATCAATGAATAATAGATAAACAAAGAAAAAAAATAGAATAATCTGACAGACGACATGAAACTTGTATGTTTTCTAATTTAACGTCGTTTGTTATTACGTGGAACGGATGTTGTTGGCCGTTGAGCTGAAAAATAGATTAATATGGAATTTCAATCTAAGAAAATCATTAAATATGTTATTACTTCTAGCAAAAAGACAAAGCTTTTTAACTGGCATATTTTTATTTTTCTATTAACATATATTGTCCTAGGTCTTACACGAATAATGACATCAAACAATATGCGAGTTTTAGTAAACGAAGAAAGAAATTATTTTCATAAAATAATACATGAAAATAGTCTGTTGTTACGAGAAAATTTTGAGATTAATATTTGCCTTCGATAGATGAACTTTAGATCTCTTATCAGAGTTCATCAAGTTTAAAATTTTCCAATCCGAATACGTCCGAGATTAACCAATTGAATTCTACCTCTTATACTTCAAGACAGAATTCGAATGAATATCTCATCTCATATCGTCATGATGAGAAAATGAAATTTTTATATTTTATTCGATCAAATAATATGATGGAATGATGTTGATTTTTAAATCTATTTTTATGCATTGTTATATTGTAATGATTGCCCTTTAAAATGATTTCGTGTTATAGATTATCAAACCAACGTTCTGATGTCTCGTTTTTTTTTTTTGGTTGATGAAAACTGCACATTGAATTTCGAAATATTTATCATATTCTTATTTCTCTTCTAATATGACATCAACGTTAATGTAACTAAAACTTCATTTCTCGTAGTAATATCAACTCATTCTATACAATTTTTAAGACGATTTGATCATATTAAAAACTAATAAGGGAAGATTCTTACATGTGAATATTCATTTTAATCGGCTCTATGTCAGCTTGTAGAGCACGATCTAACCTGTTAAAGACAGTCTACGGGGAAAAACACATTTTGTCATCGTAATCAATTCATCAAACTGTCTATCACTTGTGTAAGAGTCGATTCATGATAAACCTCTGATAATACTTACAATAATCAACAGATCTGTCTCTGCTTGATGTTTGACTGGAAATATTATCTGTTGAACTTTTATTTCTAAAAAAAAAACAAAATATGATTGATATTCGAAAAGTATAAACAATTTATATTTACTCTAAAACTGTTTGTTTTTCATGTTCAGTAAGAATTCTTTCATCGGAAAATAGAATTGTATTAAAAGGCACTTCTGTATCATCATTTTCATTCATATTATCTAATATACCTGTCCATACAAGTAAATCATCAACAAGTAACTAAACCAAATAAATAATAATATTTAATTTTTCAACTATTTATCATCAAAAAAAAAAAAAAAAAAAAAATTCATACATACAGAAAATTCTCTAACACCACGATTTGGTGTTTTAGCATAATTCCATATTTTAATCATAGATACAGATGTTGGTCGATCAAAAATAACAAATATTCGATTGATCTTAAATGAAAAAAATAGACATATTGAAAGTAAAATTTTCTAAAAAACAATATACATACAGCATTAGCTAAAATAGGTGCAATCCAACAATGTGTACCATCAATTTCATCATTTTCACCATCAATTAATTTATCCGGTGTACGAACATCATCATCTTTACCTGGATTAAGACTATTTACACTATGAGGATAAGCAGCAATATCTGTTTAAAATGAAATAAAATTATTATTTTCAAATGATTAATAAATATATATATCTATATACTTTGTTCAGTTAAACCAATACATTCACCATTTTCATCATAAAATTCCAAACCATTTAATCCAATATAATAAGCATCACCATGAGTTGAATGAAGTTGAAATTCATAAATAACTAGAATAAACATTATCTATTTCATATAATAATTCAATATTCTTCTTTTCTTGTTCTTATTCTTTTTAAAGCTTAAAATATTCGATTACGAAAAAAAAACAAAGAGCAACTACTCTGTATGATCAACAAAAATTTTAGGCAGTTTTTGAACTGATCACTGATATTTTGTTTTGGATACAAGATCCGATAAGTTTAGAATGTAATAGCACAACTAGACGAAAGGTAAAGGGAGCTTTAAATGCTATCCAATAAGTCTTATTCGGACGCTGTCTGTGGATAAAAAATGTTTCTCCGGTCGTCAACTACTAATGATTCAGATATCATCAAGCTCTCTGTATAGAATAAGAATCTAAAATTTATTGTAAGAATAATTCTTGGAATATTATAAAAATTTCTTCTTCGACATTGAGAATTTTCGTATTACGAAAAGATAAGAAAAACAATTTTATTTTTTATATTCAAAGAAAGGACTTATCTAATATCATCACAACCTGACCCACATGCTTATCTATTCCATCGTGGGAACCTTTGTCATCTATGAAAATAAATTGTAAAATACAATAAAATTATTTTATTCGGTGGAAAAAAAAGCAAATCTATTGTAATCTATAACAAAAAAAGAACTTAATTTAACTTACATCCATTTGGCATTGATATATCTGACTCAATGTCATGATTAGTAGCCAACGGCTGTCTAAAATGATAAATACAGTACTTGTCAAAAATGTATTTCTATGATAACGAACATTTAACTCAAATTCCTATAAGAAGAAGATTTCTGAAAAACCAAACACAATGGTTTTCGAGTTTTATAAGATTATATGAAAATTAGTTATTAGCATTACCATCTTAAAGAGCACAAAATGAGGGTTGCCACATTTTCTACAACTTTCCCTTCAAAAGTTATAAGCAATATCGCAATGAACTTGAAAACCATCATGTTTGATTTTAAGTTAAATACTCGATATTGCAACAAAAAAAAAACAAAAGATTTTTTAATACTTTTTTTGTGAATTTTCATGCATTGTTTTTGCATGAGCAAAAACAATTTCTTGTGCAAAATCAAAAAAACAATGACCAGGTGCACGTCGTAATAGAAAACCTTGTCTTGGTGAAACAATTTTATCATTTAATTGTACATGAAGTCGTTTAACCTATATACAAATAAATATATATATATATATATGATGTATATTTTTATTTTTTGAAAGAAAATCTATTATAACTTACACCTCGATAAGCATCATCTAATGATTTATTATAATTCCATATACGTAAACCATGTAATCTTTTCGATGCATTTAATGATATTATAATACGTATTTTTTCATTTTTACTAAATGGACATAACCACATATGATGATCATCACAAGTTATATTTTCACCATCAAATAATCTAAAATTATTTTGAAAACAAAAATAAATAATAAAAAATTCTTTTATTCGTTTTATTACTTATCAAGTGTTCGAACATCATTAGTATTTTTTGGTAGAATAGTTATATCACGTGGACGTGCATCATATGATTGTATTACACAATCGACATCATTTATATCAACAACTTCAATACCTGTTAAACCACAATAATGTTGATCACCCCATGTTTCTGTTATTGTTAAAATTAATTCTACAAAACAAGAAAAAGAATTGATTTTGTAATGTTTTTATTGACATACTTTTTCCATAATATTCTGGTACTTTATTTGAATTTGATGAACGAAGAGCTGTAAATGGTCTTCGTAACATAGCACGTGTCATTGGTCGAATCTATTTAATATAAATATAATTATATGCAAAAAATAAACAAAAAAGAATTCTAATATTAGAAATAAATATACATCAGTTCCAGCAGTTGGTGGTCGATTTGTATTTGTTCGTATATTTTCTTCATCATTTTGAGCTGTTTCTTGATCAACATACATTTCATCATAAGTTGAAATTTTTTCAAGAATTTCCTCTTCAGTTGTAAATAAAATTGTCTTGAAAATAAATAAATTATTTTATTTGATTTTAATAATCAAATAAAAAAAATACAAACTTCTCCATAAGCTGATGGATCATTTGTAGCTGTTATATTACCACAAGCTTGACTTATTTCACCTTTAAATATCATAAAACCATCAAGAGTAATTTCAACATCTTTAACACCACGTGCTGAATGAATACGATTTTTATTGTAATTCTTAAAAGAAAAACAAAAAGAAATATTCATGATGAAATTTTCAATAATAATCAAAAAGCCTAAACTTATTAATGATTCTGATCTATTGTTTAAGAGAGCTTCCATAAGCTGATCGAGCATCGCTCCAATATACGACGCACTCGATAAAATTTTTTTTTTCGATTCTTTTTGCTCATTCAAAACTTTAATGTGTAAAACTACTAACCCTAAAATTTTAGGTTCTAATACTCTTTCTATGAAAAGTTAGGCAACACCAACTTTTGGCACTATCAGGCCTTTT